AGCCATCAAGTTCCATGTGGGCAGGCGCAGAGGGGAAGCCGCCCAATCAGCTGGAGCGTGGTTCAGCCTCCTCTGGGCTGAACGCCACAGCCAGCAGGCCAGGCAGCTTCTCCTCTGTGCCAGCCCACGTGGAGCGTGGTGCACCCTGGCTGAGCGCCATGGCCAGCTGGCCGGGCAGCTGCTTCTCTTGCCTCCAGCCCGGGTGCCCTGCGCTCAGCCCAGGGAGGCTGTGCCTAGCTCCAGATGTGAAAGCCAGTCAGCTGGCTGGAGTGTTTCAGCCCTCCCAGCTCCCACCTTTCCTCGCAGCTACTCACCTGTGTTGTTACTCAGTGAGTAGCTGCTCCTCAAATGAGGAAATCTAATGTAAATGTCCTGCACAGGTGTGCATTTCAGAGAGGGCTCAAGAGCTGCTCTTAGAGCCCCTGAGTTCTACCGGTAGCTCATGATCTACTTGTTGGTAACCACAGACTTAGGCAATGCTTTCAGTTAGTCAGGTTGAAACCACAGGCTTAGGCAATGCTTTCAGTTAGTCAGGTTGAGCCTGACTCCTAAAGGTCACCACTTACTTCCTATTATATAGGAAGCAGGACAATGGAGCTAATGAATGCTTCTGCCAATAGTGAGGGCCCTAAGCCTGGGTTTCTACCCAAATTCAGGTCAAAGGTCTCCAAGTTTAACTGAAGGCCCCAAAGCAGCTGATGGCAAACAAGAGCCCTGCAATGCTTTGATGTGTGCTAAGGATGAGCGGTTGTGCAAGGAATGATAATTGAGTGACGGACTTTGCAATACTGATTTTTGTCATGTTCAGGGAAAAGTTAGTGTTTCCTTTGGCGTAAATAGCTGTGTCTTCCACGGTGTTTTGATTAATTATCTTGGTCACTTTAGTCAGGGAAATACTTTTGACACTGCAGTGAACTGAAATGACCTAGAAGTAATTTCTTAAAGAAAGCTGACACTGCTGTTTATCTCTAAGTAGCTATTTAGTGTCTTGCTCAGAGATGCTTTTTGGAAAACCAGCCCTGAGTTACTATCAAGGCTGCATAACATCACAATACCAGATGAAATTAAACAAACCAAATTAATGTCTTCATTCAATAACTTTCTGCACAAGGGCTGGGGGTTGGGAATGAAAATATTATTGTAAAGGGTTCAGCCTGTAGCTTTGTGGCTTGGAAACATACAATGTCACCAAAGGAAACAAACAAAAGCCACCATCTTTTTCAGGAATCCACTATAGCAACCAACATGTGTCTTCCATGGCTTGCAACTCTCATATCACAGGATTGGGGGGAGGGTGTGATTCTTAAACAAAATATTACGTGATAGATAGTCTGGCTCTATTCCCCCCAATGAGAAGCGTGTCTAGCTTCTGTTGCAGGAGAGTCTCATGAGAGGGCTACGGAAGGGTTGGGTTGGAGGAAAGGAGCCAAACTCTTACCCTCGGAGATTATTTACAAAGCCCATGTGGCTGAAGCTCTGTGAGCTCAAGTACGATGGCAAAGGTTGCAGAATTTGGTGGCTCGACCAAGTCTTCAAAATGCCTATCTGGAATTTGCAGGTAGGATGCGGTAGCTTGGGCCTGGGGCAATGGGACGACCACCAATGGCTCCGGAACTTATGCATGCGAAAGCAGACGTTCCTGGAGCTATGTTCCAGGCTTGCCCCTGCGCTCCAGAGAACCACCACCCAGCTGCGGGCACCCATCCCCTTTAACAAGAGGGGCGCCATCGCAGTCTGGAAGCTGGCCACCCAGCTACCAATCAGTGGCAAACCAGTTCAGGGTGGGCAGATCCACCAACAGTGGCGTTGTGATGGAGGTAAGTCCCGGGGGGGGGAGTGGCATGGGGGGAGGGTGCTGCACTCCATGACCAGGGGCAGCCAAGACTCCAGACAAGGATTTTGGATGTTAAGAGCAGCCCATTTTTAATGGAAATTGGTTAGCTAAAACATCTTTGAAACACCCTCAGACATTATTTATTTGTATTTTAGGCTTTTCCACAGCTTTTAGTTTTTTAGGGTTTTTTTTTAAAGACACATGCTGATGAACTTAAACTGTGCCTTTTTTCTCCCCCATGTTACTTCCTAATGGATCAGTGTCTACCATGAATACTTTATTTACTTCTTTTGGGGTAATACATACTTCAATATCAGCTCTGTTGTGCCAAACGCCTAATATGCTACTGAAATTCACTACTGCATCACAACTGGGACCAATACATTACTTCTTGTGGGTACCATAAAACATGTTTTGCGGAGGGTTGGAGGTAACGTATTTTATTTACAAAGGGAAGTGGGTAATGCGCATCTGATACTTGCTCGGGTGAATAATTCTTATACTAATCTTTACCTTGGGCTAGATTCTCTATTGCCTTGTATTGTCCATAGTAGTCCATACAGTTAATGTGTTAAAATCCCTCCCTGTTAAGCAAAGCTCTTAAAGCAATGGGATTTAGCCTGTACTGCAGTACTTTGCTGAATCAATGTCTTTTGCCTGTGGAAGGTGGCTATACATTGCTTCCTATACAACTTGCAAGGCAGGAGGTTCAGGTTAACTACATTCCATGAGACTACATGAGGAAGGATTATCACCCGTTCGGGCAAAAGTCCTTTTCCGGAAAAACTGTTCCGGAAAAGGGCCAGTGTAGACAGTACAGTAGTCTTTTCCGCAAAAAAGCCCCGATCGCGACAATGGCGATCGGGGCTTTTTTGCGGAAAAGGCTCTTTTCTGGAAAAGCGCGCCTACATTGGCCACAGACGCTTTTCCGGAAAAAGTGCTTTTCCGGAAAAGCATCCTGCCAATGTAGATGCGGTTTTTCCGGAAATACTTATAATGGAAAACTGTTCCGTTTTAAGCATTTCCGGAAAAGGGTGCCAGTGTAGACGTAGCCATATTGTTTATTATTGTTTAATGACAGATAAACACACACAAAATGTTACAACACTAAACTCTCAATAGTTTGGCATCTGCTTCATGGGATAAGAAAATAAAGTGATTTGAAAAAAGCTTGTTTTCACCTAGTACAGGTATCATAACATCACATCATTTAATGTATAATATAACCTTTATTTTTTCTAAACTCTTGGAAACGTACATAACAATCGTGCTTTATTTATGACACCATTTATAGACATTAAAATGCATCTTAATTTATAAATATTGTACATTTGGTCCATAGAATAAGTTGCAATTTACTAAATAATACTGTACTCTTTTAAACAGGCTCTGTATATATTTTAGAATATGTATATATTACATATATATTTTTATATAGAGATAGATTTGCTTGGTGTTTAGAGAATAATTCCTTATTGCAAAAAGCATATATGATCATACAATAATTTTTCTTCTTTAGGGCAAATACTACAAAAAGATACAACTATTCACAGTTTACACGCAATAATTCTACAACACTATGTTTGTGCTATATATGATAATAGTCTGTACAGAGCTCTGCTATAGAGAGGTCTGCCAAACATCTGTCATAATTGTTTACAATTAAACATTTAATACTGCATTTTTCTTAGAACAACATGGGACTCAATTACATTAAATAAAGCAAAAGTTGGAATTTTTATCCTTAGTCTAATGAAAATCACAATTATCATGTGTATATATGATTTGTACGTATGGTGTATGTTTTTTCCTAAACCCTGAAAACTTACAAGACTTGAATTTAGGAATGAATTCAGCTAAAGACATGTAGAATGTATCTTTGATTTTAGAGTATTTTTACAGTTGACCTACTGTATGAAACAATTTAGCAGCTACTAAACAATACTTTGTGATTTTATGACATAGGTTGAAATATATGTGTATATATATATTCTACAATTATGTGCTTGACATTCTGAGAATAATACCTTATTGCAAGAACATATGTTTGTCAACTTCAGACAAAAACAACAAAAAACCCAATGTTCACAGTTAATGTTTTTCACATAGTAGTTCTACATAAATTGTGTGCTATCTAACATTGTACTTTGCACAAAAGTTTGCTGAAAAAGCATGTTTCATTGCACAGTTCTGTCACAGTCATTTACAATTGAACATCGAATACTGCATTTCCCATAACTCTTGCCATCCTACTTATAGCTGCCAAATAAGTAACACCAAATAGGATCTGATCTTGCATTTTCTATACAGGAAGAGCTTCAGTGGGAGATTTAATATAAAGGAAATTCAGAGTAGAACCCATAATGCTATTTATGTTATAGCAATAACCTTGTGCCTTCATCACCACCATGGACAATATGAAAAAAAATCAAGAAAATAAAAAATAAAGTCTTCAAAGTGCTAGAGCAGTCTACAACTTATTATGTACTTGTTAGTTACAAACTGTGTTGAAAGATCTTTAAAAAGACTGAATACAACAGTCCATGATTTAAAGCCCTAACTTAGACTCATATGGAAATGGTTCAATATTTAAACTGTTGTTTTGGTTTTTATTTTGGTGGCAATATGATATTCTTGTTTATGGAGTAATATAATCAGAAACATTAGGGCTGTGTCTACATTGGCATCCCTTTCCGGAAAAGGGATGCTAATGAGACACTTCAGAATTGCAAATCCACGGGGGATTTAAATATCCCCTGCGGCATTTGCATTTACATGGCTGCTGCTTTTTTCCAGCTCGGGGTTTTTGCCGGAGAAAGCGCCAGTCTAGACGCGATTTTCCGGAAAATAAGCCCTTTTCCAGAGGATCCCTTATTCCTACTTGAAAGGATCCCTTATTCCTACTCGCGTCTAGACTGGAGCTTTTCTCCGGCAAAAAGCCTGAGCCGGAAAAAAGCGGCAGCCATGTAAATGCAAATGCCGCGAATTTGCAGTTCTGAAGTGTCTCATTAGCATCCCTTTTCTGGAAAGGAATGCCAATGTAGACACAGCCTATCTGTATTTGGCTACAAATAATTTCTGCTGCTTTAACTTGGGAAGCTTAGGAAGAACTTATAATAGTTTCATATTACTGTACTATGTATTTTGCTAAAAAAATTGAATGAAATATTATGCTTCTACAGTGTGTATCTAAAAATAGACATACAATGATTCAGTATATTTCACTATAAGACCATATTATTAGTTTGTGGAAGTAAGTGCGGCAAGCCTAAGTGTAAATAATGTATTTAAGCCAGTATGCAAGAAATTGTTTAAACTGTATTTCTATAAATATGAATCAAACTGAACCTATACCAGGAAAGGTTTATAAATATAGCTAAACTTAAGATGTTGGAAAAATAATGAAAAGAATAAAAAAGAATAGTGTTTACTAATACGAATTTCAAGGGCAAACTTTTCACTGGAAATCATCTGTTTACAAAATATTTTGCCTGTAAAAAACAGCTTTCAAATTTAATCGCACATCCTGCAAAGTCAGAAATAACAGTCTTGGGATTCAGCTGTAAGAAATATATCATTAAACTACTAGAAATCATCAGCACAAAACATCAAATTGTTATGCTAAAAGATAGATTAAAAATGTCCTGCACCTTAGTTTACAAATTCCAAGATAGTTAACTCTTATTGTGAAAGGATAAAAACATTAACAGTCTGTGGATTGCCAGAAAACATAACATTGTCAACATCTGAGTCCCCCCACATGATTTGATCGTACCCCCCAACAATTCCCTAACAGGGGTGATGGGTTGTGTTTTTTTGCCACTAGAGGTAGGTAATTATATTCTCAGACATAAATTTGTGGTCATATGCAACCATTTTTTTGTTTTGTTTTTCCAGAGTACCATTTGTACCTCTCCAATACAGAAATTTAGATATATGCTTCTTTGTTTGCGGAGTTGCTTTGCTGGGCTTGGTCCGGACAATTTTCAGGATGAGTAATGTCTTCACTTGGCTGAATCATTACTTGGATGCGCTGTTTAAAAATGAGTGAGAAGTCACTGAATATTTCTAAACTTTTCATTCAAGTCTTAGCTAAACATCTTTCTCTGGACATTGCTGTCTATTCCACCTGGTGATGCAAAGATTAAAATACACAGGCAGTCACATTTGCTAAACATTTTAGTAATGAACTCCAGTAAAGGTGAGTATTTGGTCTCCTTAATCAGGAAAGGAATGGGAATAATTTGTAAATGGAATCAGGTGCATTAACATAAAGACTGAAGTATTTCAGCTAAGCACTGAAGTGCTTTACTGGAATTCAGCTTTATCAAGATGAAAAGGGTGTCAGCTAGGCAAATCATGCATTTTTAAATCTTGTTTCAATTATTGCACATCATGCAGCCAGACACTGGCATACTTTTGACATTGTGTTAAAGAAAACAATTTTTAATATAGATACATGGCCATAAAAAGCTTTTCCTCCCTAGCATAAAACATGGCTTCAGCCCTAATAGGGCTGTTGTGTAACTTAAACATTTTGGCTTACATTATGCAAGATTACTATTCTTTCCCCCCCTTCTATGTTTTATTACTGGGGACATCATATGCAAAAAAGGGGTCTCTGATCCTTAATCATTTTTCTCACTTGAAATCAAAATCCTGCATTGGTAATCCTGACCTAGAGTTTTTTTAACAAAAGGCTGTCAGGATTGAATCTTTGATCAGCAAGTAATTTTTAGAGCTGATCGAAAAAAGGAATTTCTATTCTGTGGGAAATTCCAACATTTAAACATTTGTTTTCATTCTGCAAAAACATGAAAAAAAATCTTAACTAGAAAATGACTCTTCAGAAGTTCACTTTGAGTTTTGGATAAAAGTTAACAGAGTTATAACATTATCTGCTTGGTTTGCCTATGTGACGTAGTGGTTTGCCTATGTGACCTTGCTGGTTGCTATGCTGGGCAGTGGGTGGTGAGTGACCTCCACTGGCTGCTGGCTGCAGCACGGCCCAGTAGGGCAGGGCATGAGTCATTATGCAAGGGGGCTTTGAACCTGTCTGACCAATTATCTCCCAGGGAGCGGAACAATGGGAAGAAGGGGAGTGGACTGGGGGCAGGGCTGGAAGTGAGTGAGTGAGGTTTCTGACTGGTATCATGGAGGAAGCAGCCTAGGCAATGGGCTGGGATTTAGGGGCCCAGGCTCCCCCATCTCAAGGGGGGCTGAGACATCCTAGGCCTGCCCTGTAACCAGATTCCATCTGTGCTGTGCTGTATCCTGGAGAAGCAATAAACTCCCTCTATTCTACTGGCTGGTGGAGTCTGTCCATGCCATTACGGGGGTGCAGGAGATGGGAAAACCCCAATGCGCTGTCACAGCCTATTTATAGTTAGTGGTCACATACAATATTCAGTTACTACTTACGGTTTATGAAAGCTTGATGATGCTTTAAAATGACTAATCAAACGTTATAGATTTAATCTATTAAGTTATTCATGTCTGTATTATCTACTAATTGTGTATCAATCTTAAATTAAAGGGTAATTAAATTGGCCAACTTCAGTCATGGTATCACATAGCATGGCTATAAAACAAATCTGCCCCTAAGATTCTATTTCCATACAAATGCCCCAGCACTCATAATTATTAGGAAAAGCAGAAGGGAAGAGAGATTCCAAAAATATTTCAGTCAAAAATTAGAATTTTTTTCCATAATCTTCCATGAAACATCAGCAAGGCTTTAAGGCTGAGTGATGACAAGGGTTTGGGCAGCAGATTTGAACAATTCATAAGCCATCACCAATTGATTGTGTTTAGGGTCATCTGTCTTCTTGCAGGGACTTAAGGAATAAGGAAACCCTTGCCATTGGGGTGGATGTGTTCCTACACCCACTGCAAATGGCAACATTTGCAAATACTGGGAGCTGTAGGTCCCAGTATCTCCCTGTGGCTTCCAAACTCACTGGGAACTCACTGTGGCTCCTGGAAATTGTGGAGAACTCACCACAGCTGCTGGGAACCATGGGGAACTCACTCATTCCTCAACAGGCCAGGACAGGAGACCCGTGAATATACAGAACCACAAATAGGGTCTTCTGTACTCTAGAAAATCTGACACAAATCTGAAAAGCTCTGGTACCTCCAATCATGAATCACAAGAATCACAATGATGTTTTAGCACAGAAGATAACATATATGTTCAGATATAATCTATTTGGTGATGACTTTGTACACTGACATATAGAACATTTTGCCATTCTATAGCAGCAGCTGTCTGGCGGTCTCAAAAAGCTTTAAAAATATTAAGGGTATGAGCCATTCAACACCCTTATTAAGTTGGAAGTGCTATCACTCCCATTTTATATATGGGAAAATGACACAGAGTGAAGTTAAGAATAAACTTCCAGAATAAAATAAGGCCTTTATTCAAGCTGTTTAATTAAAAGACTAAATAATGGTAAAGCATAATTATAAGCAATGGACTTGATTTTCAGGACAATTTCCCAGTGATAGAATAGCACTGTGGTACGCTAGGCAGCCAAGAATAAATTAAAGCAACCGCCAGGCTACTCAGGAGCCAGAACGGCTCCAAGACTGGGAGAACACAAAAAATGGGTGAAGGCTTTCTTTGCTGCTATCCAGTGTCCCCGCAAACCCCAGCTTAACCACATCACTGGATCTGGGACAATGTCGATGGGAATACTTCTGGGTAGCCTCAGGAAAGAGTTCTCTCTTTCAGGTTCAGAGATTCAGGCCATTGTGATAATCTAGTCAGATTTCCTGCATAAATCATGAAACCACACCCACTGATTTTTGCATCAACCCCACAACTTCCAACTGAGCAATAGCATATCATTTACTTAGAAAGGTTTCCCTTCTTGAATTACAAATTTTTCAGATGACTGAAAAATGACTATGCCCCAAGATCTTCATTTCCCTTATTTCTGCAGGCCTTTGGCAAGACCTTTCAGGGTGCAAACAATGATATTGAGCAAAGATACTCTCCCCTCTACTAAGCCCATTTCTGAAGACAGAGCTGTCACTCGTGTCATGGCCTCATGGGATATCAGTATGCCAGGGAAGTCAGGAGCCTATATACCTTTTAGGAGCTGGGGTTTTTGAAATACATTTTGTGGTCACTTTCATACATACTAAAGAAGCTGGAAGGTGCAGAACCAAACACACTATGTTGGCTTCACATGGGCTGTCAGACAGGTAATTTTGTTGCAAACCAGGAACAGGTAGTAGCTCTCCTGGTGAGAGGTCCTGTGTAGTGAGCATAGGCCTCTCCTGCAGCCTTTGCTCATGAGAGTAATCACAAAAGATAACTTATGCATGTGGATTACAGCATGTGCTCTCCAGATACTCTGCTGATTTTCCAGTCTCAGCAAGAGCAGAGATATAGGTAGGAGTGACTAATTTTTAATTCCTTCAGAAGGATAGCCAAGTTGTGGAGTTGTGGTAGTCTGTAACTAGAAAAACTTAAAAACAATGAATAGTCTAGAAGTACCATAAAGACTAACGAAACATGTAGATGGTACTGAGGGAGTTGGCAAATGTCATTGCAGAGCTTTTGGCTATTATCTTTGAAAAGTCGTGGAGATCGGGAGAAATCCCGGATGACTGGAAAAAGGCAAATGTAGTGCCCATCTTCAAAAAAGGGAAGAAGGATGATCCAGGGAACTATAGGCCGGTCAGTCTTACCTCGGTTCCTGGAAAAATCATGGAAGGGATCCTTAAGGAATCCATATTGAGGCACTTGGATGAGAGGAAAGTGATTGGTGGTGCCACGGCGCATGCGTGGGGCTTTTTGAAGTGCGGGGCCTGGGGCGGCCACCCCATTCACCTTGCCCTATATCCGCCGCTGCCTCTACACCTTCTAAAATATTCATAGGGCTCTTGGCAGTAGAGGCGGGCCCACAACCAATGATAGTATCCAGTTCCTTATAGAAACAGCAGGACTCTGGTGAAGCACTGACTAGAGCATCATTTCGCTGCCTGGGCCTTATGATAGGTCTGTCTGAGTTCTTTAATTGTCACTGTGCACTGTGGCATGTCCCACGAAGAACCCTTTTTGCACAAGGATCAAGAAATAAGCCCATATGTGTACTAGTTCATATGGGTCACTCTCAGCTGGGACTGGACAGACCCCTCTCCCCATATATTGATCAGATACAACCCCTGTCCCCATATATTGATTCAGTTCTGCAGCAGTCCATGCAGGGGACCATGGTGCGATGGCCAGGTATAGGCACCTGGGAAGACATCCTGAGACCATTGCACACTGAGACAGCACAAAGGTGACTGTGGATTTAAGTTCTCAAGTAGCAGGAAATGGGATTTAAATATTGCAGAGCTTGCAAAGGTGGGTCCTCTATCCCTGTGCCTCACATTTCTGTCCCCAAACTGAGTATATTTACTACCCTTTTTTCATCCCCTTAGTCTATATCTAATATGGGCACACTGATATATCTTTATATATTCATACAGCTCACCTGAGGTCAGTAGATCTTTCTAGATATTTCTACTAACATACTGAATGTTTATATTATGGGTATTAGGTTTCAGAATCAATAACTCATGGAGTTTTACTTGAGTATGTCAATACCATCTCAGGACTATAGTTTTAGGCCATCTATGGAGTAAACAAAATAGAGATGCATTCATTTCAATTTATTTCACATTCAAGAAGTTTTTTTCAACCGTAACTGTTAGAAACTTAGAGACAGTCCCTCAGTGCAGGCCATCTGCCTTGTACTGAAGCATTAGTGGAATCCTCGAGTGGCATTGTTCAGTGGCCTAAAATGACTGAAGGCATCTCTTGTCCTGCTATCAGTGTAACATGGAATGGCCAGGATATTGTCCAGGTTGGATATTAGGAAAAACTATTTCACTAGGAGGGTGGTGAAGCACTGGAATGGGTTACCTAGGGAAGTAGTGGAGTCTCCATCCCTAGAGGTGTTTAAGTCTCGGCTTGACAAAGCCCTGGCCGGGTTGATTTAGTTGGAATTGGTCCTGCCTAGAGCAGGGGGCTGGACTTGATGACCTTCTGAGGTCTCTTCCAGTTCTATGATTCTATGATTCTATGATAATGAACTTTCCTGTGTACAACCCACTTCTTCAGATGAATGGAGCATTAAAAGTCCAGATCCAAGAATAAATAAGGGAAGAGAGCAAGGGGAAAAGGGGAAAAAAGGGGAAAAGTAAAAAAAAAGTGAATTTGAGTGTTTCAGTTTCAAGAAACCGATAAGAACAATTTGCACTTACTCTTAGTGCCCATTGTTGAGTTGGCTAAGTCATTAGGATGTGGAAGGTAGTGTGCTAGCCAGACAATGTCTTTATTCATACCTCTATGATAGGAATCAAACTTGTAAATGAAGTTAAGTTCCAACCCTTCCCTGTGTATTTGGCTTGTGGAATTGGCCTGAAACAACACAGTGACTTGGAGATCCATTAATGAGTTTCCCGGGCAGGTTGAAGTGTTCTCTAACAGATTTTTGTGTGTTGCCTTTTTGGATATCTGATTTGTGTCCATTAATTCTTTCTCATAGAGACTGTCCAGTTTGGCCAATGTACCTGGCAATTGCTGGCATTTGATGGCATAGATCCATGGCTCTGAAACTTTTTGGGCTCTGGAACCCATTAAATGCATAAAAATTTATGCGGAGCCCCAGCGGTCCACTGATTGTATGTGTTGTGCCTATTGATGCTGGTCACGTTAGACTTCCAAATTTTGTGAAATTTTGTACATATATTTATCAACTCGTGTATTTTATTCATAAATAATAACAATTAAATCATTTACTTTTTAATTCAGATTTTAAAGCACAACATTTTTTATAAGAAAAATTACTATTTTTTTGCCCAAAATCAAAAACAATCATTATTTTTAGTGAGAAGAGTGGGCTTGCTTTCTATTCTTACAAAGTTCTTTAATGTCTGGCTTGATAGAAGAAAGCTGGATTCACATATCTGCTTCTGCATCCAGTCTGTTGCAGTATTTAATTTTGGTTGAAGTGAATGAAGAAAATCCAGTCTTGCACAGATAAGTAGTGGCGAATGGGAGGAGTATTTTAACAGCTTTCTTCGATAACTATGGATATTCTCCTCTGATACTGCACCAAAATTCCAGAAATGGTAGTTTCTCAAAGGTTGGTTGTATTGAGGAATCCAAAATCATGTCAATGAAAATTTGTCAACCTCGCGGAGCTCCTGGAGATGTCTCGCGGAGCCAAGGGGCTCCGCGGAGCACAGTTTGAGAAACACTGGCATAGATCTCATTAGTGAATATGCAGTTAAATGAGCCCCTGATGTAGTGGCTGATGTGGCTGGGTCCAGTGATGAAATTGCTTGTGTAGATGTGTGGACAGAGTTGGCACTGGGGCTGATTGTAGGGGTGGTCTCCTGGATGAGTAAGATGGAGGCGTGCTGGGTAGTTACTAGAAAGAATTTGTTTGAGGTTAGGGGGTTGTTTTTAGGCAAGGATTGGCCTTTCTCCCAAGGCCTGTGAGAGTGAGGGGTCATTTTCCAGGATAGGTTGTAGATTGTTGATAATGTGTTGGAGGGGTTTAAGTTGTGGGCTACAAGTGATGACAAGTGGATGAATATCACAGAGGTATGAATAAAGACATTGTCTGGCTACCTTCCACATCCTAATGACTTAACCAACTAAAAAATGGGCACTTAGAGTAAGTGCAAATTGTTCTTATCAGCTTCTTGTAACTTGAGGATATGTCTACACTAGCCCCCTAGTTCGATCTAGGGAGGCCAATGAGGGTGACCGAAATTGCAAATGAAGCGTGGGATTTAAATATCTACATATATTATACCATCTACATGTTTTGTTACTCTTTAAGGTAGTGTTTCTTAAATTTTTTGAGACTATGGAACACCAAACAATAATATTTCTTTATGTGGAACACCTATGAAATATTTTCATTAACATGTTCCCGGCCGGTCACCATTTTAGAAATTGACTAGCCCGAAGTAACTGCCCGCGTTTACACGCGGCAGTGAAACAGGATTCCGAATTAAAGCCCTAACTTGAATTAGCTGTTATTCCTCCTGCAATGAGGTTTACTAGCTAATTCGAGTTAGAGCTTTAATTCGGAATCCCATTTCACTGCTGCGTGTAAATGCGGGCAGTTACTTCGGGCTAGTCAATTTCTAAAATGGCGACCGGACGTGAACATGCTAATGAAGTGTGGGATATTTAAATCCCGTGCTTCATTTGCAATTTCGGTTGCCTTCATTAGCCTTCCTAGATCGAACTAGGAGGCTAGTGCAGACATACCCTAATTCACTTTTTTTTTTAACTCCCTTCCATTTCCCCTTGCTCTCTTCCCTTATTTGTTCTTGGATCTGGACTTTTAGGCTATGTCTACACTGCACCCCTTTTCCGGAAAGGTCCCTTATTTCTCTTAAAATCAGGAATAAGGGACCTTTAGGAAAAGGCTTTATTTTCCGAAAGATCCCAGTCTAGACTGGCACTTTTTTCCGGCAAAGCACCGAGCCGGAAAAAAGCGGCAGCCATGTTTATGCAAATGAAGCAGGGGGGTTTAAATCCCCACTTCATTTGCAATTGCGATATGTCTAATTTGCATCCCTTTTATGGAAAAGGTATGCAGTCTAGACACAGCCCAGATGAAATGAGCCTGGGTGGAGAAAAAAAAGGACTCTCAGAATAAGAAGGGAAAGGGAGAAAAAAAAAGGTGTTTCTTACCATGGAACACCAAACAATAATATTTCTTTATGTGGAACCCCTATGAAAATTTTCTTTAAAAAAATTGTTGTCAGACAAAAAGAGACAAAACCTGAGAAACAACAAAACCAAAGAAGAGGTCAAGGCATACCTATGAGTTGTTCATGGAACACCAGTGTTCTGCGGAACATAGTTTAAGAAAACTGGTTTAATGTGTTGCTAGACTATTAGTTGTTTTTTAAGTTTTTTAATTCCTTGCGGGAATCATAATTTGTATTGACTTCTGGGGGGATTATGTGCTTCAGCAGTGGCCCAATCCTTCACACATTACAGAGGGAGAATTCTTAATCATCCTCACTGGGAAGTTTGCCTCAGGGAAGACTGTAAGAAAAGGCAACAGAGTTCAGATTTTCCGGTCTGCTAAGGCCACTTTCTGCTGCTACACCAAAGGGACAGGAGAGGAGGAGGTGTTGGTTTGGGGCAAGCTGGGAGCAGGAAGATGTAAGAGACCTTATGCTAACACCACAAGTTAGAGTAGGATCCTTCCCCTTATTTCTATATTGTGGTGAGGTCAGGCAATTACATTAATCTCCCTGTAGCTCAGAGCATGTTGGATGTAGTGACGAATAGGGGTTCAGGTCTTTAGTAATGTCACAGCCAGAGCCTCATGATGTCTAACCCCAATGGAATCAAGGGAGCTACACTGACTTGCTGCTAAAGATTTGTCCCCCGCCCCTCCAGATCCCTATAACTACATCAACCTTATCACAGATCAGCTGTGCCACAGTTGGCTACTGTGTTAGGAGTAAATTGCACTTAGTGGGCTAAAGATTGGCCACTTTGCCATCCTTGTACATTATAACTGGTGTTATGGTAGCAAGATATGTTACTATCTGACACCTTCAAAACTACTACATTTCCACATTTATCTTTTGAAGCAAAATGACTGTGCTAAGACAACTGATGCCAAGGAAACTAAGCATATATAGCTTGCATCATAGAATCGTGCACAACATTACCTGTTTTAAGGAGCCTTTTAAGGTAAGAAACATATATGCCATGTAGCCTGGAATCAGCACCATAGAAGAGAGCGCCATGAACCAGCCAACCCCTTGGCCCCATTTTGGGAAAACATAATTGCCCATAGTGAGAGGAGTCATCTGCACAGCACTGAAGATAAACACTCCCTGGAAAAAAAAATGGAAAAAACAGTGAAGCTTGACTGTGACCTACATTCATCAAACCACTTTGCTGGAGTTCCTGTGTTCAACCCTGAGACTGCCTCCAACCCCATGAAGCAGAGAGGAGAGGAAAGTGGGCAAAAAGTGTCTCCTTACCTCCTTGCCCTCATCACCGAATCCTACATGTGGGTGGGGGAGATCTGCCACAGCTGCAAGCCGGAACAACCCTCCTCTATCCCTCTTCTATCAGGCCTGCTTTATCCCTGCCAGCCAGTGCAGATGGGCCACTGAAGAAGGGGAAGTGAGCTGAGGCCAGGAAAACAGCAGGCATGGCCTACTTCTCCCACAGAGTTAGGGGGAAGCAGGAACTGAATTCTGGCTGAATTTTTGGCTCTGCCCTGCTCTGTGCTTACTGGGGGTTATATTGCAAAACTCTAGTCTACCCTGTGAGAAGCCAAGAATCATTAGTCTGAGAAATGGAAATTGTTTAACTACTTTAGGCTTTGTACTTTACTACCCTGTAAAATGTTAAAAGGTGTAATAGTTACTAAAACAGATGTGAATCTATGGTGTACATACTGGCTGCATTGGGCCAAAGTTTGACTTGTGATGACTACAACCCAATATCCCAAAAGTGATGACCAACACGGTCTGTATGTTTCTTGCATAAACTCCTTGACCCTTTACCATCCTTAATGCATATTCCTTTGGCAGGCTGTCTCCACTCTTTGGAATAGATCCTGGAAGGTATGCATGTATGGAACTTTACCAGAAGATAGAATAATACTTTTGCAGTATATCCAATATATTTGAGAAAGTTTGTCTGTGAGTGAGCAAGCAAGTCTTTCTGTCTGTCCATTTGTTAAAGAAACAAACGGTAAGCACTAGGACCACCAAATTTAATATTTGGATAATCTTATCCTAACTTAAAGCAAAGACAGGGGTTGGCTATGTCAGGAAAATGGGAAATGCCAGGAATGGAATTGTTTTCCATAACACAGGATGGGAGGGATCCAAGAGCAGAGACAGTTATACTCTGCAATGACCAGTGAGCACAAGGGACAGTTATACTGCAGAGTAACCACAGGCTGCACCAGGAAGAGAGTAGCCAGTTGGATCCAGAGTTCTCCATGCCATCAGCCATGGGCAAGTGGCCCTTTTACCCCCAAAACCTTTTCCCCAGACCTTGGTGGCAGTGCCAGACAGATGGAAGAGGAGAACATTTTTTATGTTTGTGCATCACTCCCTCTTTTAAAATGTGTCCCTAGTTCTTTCTCATTTTAGCTGCATTTTAGTATGCATTTGCACTGGTTTCCGACCACCAGGCCACAGACCCATGCCAGGCTGCAAACCGCTGGCTGCCCGGCCACAGCACACTGCCAGGCCACGCCCATGCCTTGATGATTGGCTCAGTGAGACTTTGGAGCAAGGTCCAATCTGCCCAGAAACCCCCCTTCTTCTCTCACTGAGATGTTCTCTTTTCCCTTCTCTGCATGACACTACCTTGATGTGAGGGATACTACCTGAGCCCAGGAGTGGGAGGGTCCCAGGGGCAGGGGCTTTAGTGCAGTAGGTTGCTGGCTAGAACCCAACAGCAGCAGGCAGGGGCTCTGGGAGCCAGGGAGAGGCTTAGCCCCCACAGCAGGAAGCAACTTGAAGCTGCTGCTCGTGGTAACTCTGGGCCATGCTCTTGGCCAGATCCCCGAGTACTGGAAGGGGCTGGTGTTGGGCCCCCAGAGCTTGGGCTGCAGCCAGGAGGGGGCCAGTCCTGCCGCACTCCAGGAGCCTCTTCCAAGGCAGCACCCGCAGCCTGGCCAGGGCCCTACCCAGCCCAGCCCCTGTCTCAGGGCAGGCAGTGCTCAGAGGACAGATAAGAGAGATCTTGCCTCCCGCCCAGGAGTGGTGGCCCCGGTGTCCTGGCACTGCAAGGGGAGGGTTTGGCCCTGGGCTGCTTCCAGCTGAGCTGGCTGCGATTCCTGCCTGGGGCCCACAGAAGCTGCCACCAGCACCCAGTCTGTGCAGGGCTTGGGGACCCAGCCCTGGTGGGGAGAGTTGGGAGGGGCTGAGGGGTGGGGGCAGACAATGGGGTAAGAGGGAACAGGGATGTGAGAGGTGGGAGCAGGAAGGGGATGCAGGAGGCACTGAAAGGAGGTTGGGAGGATTCAGGGGAGACTTAGGGGTGGATGGGAGCAGGGGTGCAATAAAGGGAAACTCTGGTGGGGGGATCACAGGAGGGAAAGGGGAGGATGTGGGGAGGGGAGGCTGGGTGGAGACTGCAGGAGCAAGAGCAGCCTGGCTGGGGAAGGGAAAGACACAGAGCAGGGGTTGCACAGACGGGGAGGGAGAGATACAATGGCAGCTGCCCCACCCCAAGAGACAGGAGTAGGGAGGGGAGAGGTGACTAGTGGTAGTACTTGGGGCACCAGCTCCTATGCCCCTGACAACATTTCAGTTGTTAAATGCCCCCTGCCCCTGTGTGTGCCCCTCTCTGCACCCCTCCCTCTGCAGGCACCAGTTGCCCCTGGGGGAGGGACTGCCCCACCCAGCAGCCAGAGGGGAATTCTTTCTGTGATTTTTTTTAGCACTGTAAATATCTGCAACCTCTGATAAGTTACAATGACATGTATTGTGTGCAGGCAGATGCAGTGTAAAATAACACATGACCTCTTAACATTAATTACCATAATAAATATGCAAATAAAATGTTACCAGTGTGCCAAAAGTTTGTGAATGGGTTTGCCGGCCCATGGTATAAAAAAGGTTGGGAACCACTGTATGTATTGGATTTAGGGGACAGATATATTGCATAGGCTGCTTGTCAATTTCTTACTGCTGAGGAAACAGAGTGTGTCCATTTGGAATTCCCAACTTAAAACTGGTTTGGAATCATTTGAAAGATACCTTTTCATCATTTTTGCAATAGAAAGTTTGGAGGGGGAGGGGGGGTTGAGTTGCAATCCCATAATCTAACTTTAAACATAGGATTTAAGGAAACATGCTAAATCAAAGCAAAGCATGTCAATTGACCTGAACTGAACATTTAGTGGTTCACAAAAGTGAGATTTTGACTCCCCATCCCGATTTACAATGAGAGTAAAATCTTCACTTCTCACAGGATGGGCAAACTTCTCTGCTGAAATTTGAAGATAAAGTGGACTTACTGTAGAAGAATACAGAATAGTAGGTCAGTACTTCCACACACTAACTAGGTATAATAGGACTGACTCTTTTTTGTAAGCCAGGGAAAAGTATTCAGCATACTGTGTGCAGTATGGAATACTATTTGCCTTGTATTGCTTCAGTGTACTAACTGAACTTGCACTAACAAGTGATGCTCATCTAATCCCCCATTCATTTTGTTGAAAATATTATCTCTTGATATGTAATGTTGTCATTTTTCTGTAAATTCATCAAATTCAAAATCCCTTTCTTTCCTAGCCTGCTGCAAAAGGCTAACGCAGCATCCCGCAGGGGTAACAAAGAAATCAAAGCTCACTTCACTCACTAGTTCAGCCTTTATTTGCAAAGGCCACAAATAGAAAGTTTTGCCAAAGAGGAAAATACAATAGTAGCTTTTAAATCATATTATCAGCACCTGTAAACACACAGTGATCAATGGATTACAGAAATAAAGATTTTTAAATAAAAAGCAATTATGCTCTCCTCACTCCTTCCATTTCCCATTGCAATTTTTTCAGACTTCCAGACAATATTTTAAAATTATTTTTAGAGAACTGAGAGGTGGGTCACTGCATTTGGGGAATGGCTGAATGCAAGGAACACTCAGAGCCCTGTGTGTCACTTCTTTGTATGGCTATTACAAATGATTGCTCATTAATCCTTTAATGAGAAAGGCACAAACTTTAACGATATGACTCCAGAATCTGCACACACCCATCTGTACATATGCTGTGTCTGGCACCCAACGAAGAGCTAGTTTCTGATTCCCTCATTTGCGGTGAGTGGTATCTAAATAATTCCTATTTTCAGATGTGACCACTGATGAAGTAAGTTTTTTTTTCAATGTGAGGATAGCAGAATCTGCCTCTGAATATGTAATAATAATCTTTCTGAATAGGTTGCATCCCATAATCTCTAATTTATACAAAAAAAGCAGCACATTTGTAAAACAGGCATGGATTGCAGTATCAATCCATGAGCCTCCCAATCTGAAGAGGTATTTCTCCATCTAACCAGTGGTCTCTAATTTTTCCTTTTGTGTGTATGCATTATGCAGTTTTCCATTATATGTTTATATAACATTGAATGATGTGAGCTAGAAGGTTTAAAAATCCTAATGATCTGTTTTGGTAATGGGTGCTGTGAACAAGGTTACAAAAATGCCAGCTAATGAAAAGTAATGTGTAATTTTTATAACAATTAAAATTAATTGTTAATACATTTATAATTAGTTTAGTGTTTCTCCCTAATAAATATAATATATGATAATAGATAATTAGATATAGATAATTTTGTTGCCATATTGGTCATAACCATAAGCAAAATTCATTAATTTGACCAGTAGAGAGGATCTGCTGTTAAATATTCAGTAAGATACTTAAACGTGTATCTAATTTTAAGCATGAATGTAGTTTCAACAAAGTCATGTGCTTAATGTCAGATATATGCTTAAATACCTTGCTGAAATGGGGCCTATACAATTATTAGAGCTGATCAGTAAAACCCTGCATAGATGCAAAATTCGCATCAATATCCACAAAAATTAGCTGTGCATATCTGCTTTCACATCCATGGATGGAAACAGATGGATTTAAACAGATGTCCCCAAATGTACAGGGTTCTAGATACAAAGTTTGTATCTGCATCTACATCTGTATCTGCAAAAATGAGCCATAGATGCCCATGATTATAAAATGGGTATCTGTGGATTTGCAGGGCTCTACTGGTCAGCAAATATTTCCTTCCCTTATGTATGGGAAACATTGATAGAAACAAAATCATTTAAGTTAAAACTGTTAGCAGAAATTATGGGCTTTGTAATAAAAATACTGAAAGTTTTTAAAAATTTCTAATGAAAAATTCCCAGGAAAGTGGACAGACTCTGTGGAAATTTTCGTTTTAGTCAAAACCCTAAATTTTTAGTCTATCCCTTCAGATTATATTAGGAAAGATGAAATTATAACTTATACATACACAAATGGGCAATATTTCAAGGCTTTTCTGGCTATTTTTTTGGGGGAGGGGTTAAATCTCAGATTTAACACTGCATCAACACTGTGTGTTGAGTGCCCACAGAGAAGGTAGAGCAGAAGGTAGATCAAGAAACCGAAAAATGGAAGGCAGAGATCTTTCTGATGTAAGGAGACACAGTGATGTTCATTAAATATTTTCTCAAGTGAGCCATTTATTCCCTTCAATTCAGTTAGCTAAAACTCTTTCTCATTTAAAATAAGCCTGCAGATTAAAGAGTAAAACATCCATTAGGTTGTCAGAAGCAGATGCCCTCAATAGTGCATTTTATATGCTGGGATTCATCCTCACTATCTTGAATCTGTGGCATTTCAATGAAGTTGAGATACACTAAACCAGCAAAGCCCATGATATTTACATATTACATTCCACTGGTTTACATGACACTTTTGGACAAAAGCCTCTCAGCGGGCCGTATCCGGCCCACTGAGGGCTTTGATCTGGCCCGGGAGGCAGTTTCAGGCCCTGCCTCCTAAACACATTGCCTCAGAGTTGGAAAGGTGTGCAAGCCCTCCTAACCGCTTTTATTGAAAGGGCTCACATCTTCCCCGTGTGCAGGGAAGGCGCAAGCCCTTTAAATAGGAACAGTTCAAAGGGCTCCGCATCTCTGTCTCCCTGGCAATGCGCTAGAGGCCCAGGGAGCGGCGAGTCCTTTTAAGTGCTTCTTTTTAAAGGGCTGGCACCTTCCCTGTGCCTGTCAGGCAGAGTGTTGCCTCGCAGCCACAGAGAACAGGAGAGCCCTTTAAATAGAAACAGCTGAAAGGGCTCACAGGTCCCCGCTCCTCTAGCGTGATGCAAGAGACACACAAGCTCTTTTCAGCTGTTTCTGTTTAAAGGGCTCTCATGTCCCCCATGGCTCCTAGGCAGTGCTGCCTGACAGGCCTGGGGAAGGCAGGAGCCTTTTAAACAGAAGCACTTGAAAGTCCTTGTATCTCTCTCCCTAGCAACACACTTGAAGCCAGGGGAGCTGCGAGCCCTTCCAGTTGTTTCTATATAAAGGGCTCTCCTGTTCTCTGTGGCTGTGAGGCAACACTCTGCCTGACAGGCACAGGGAAGGTGCCAGCCCTTTAAAAAGAAGCACTTAAAAGGACTCACCGCTCCCTGAGCCTATAGCGCGTTGCCAGGGAGACAGAGATGCGGAGCCCTTTGAATTGTTCCTATTTAAAGGGCTTGCGCCTTCCTGCACACGGGGAAGATGTGAGCCCTTTCAATAAAAGCGGTTAGGAGGCAGGCATGGGGAAGGGGCAAGCCCTTTAAAAAGAAGCACTTAAAAGCAGGAGCGGCCTTGGGTGAGCTGGCGCCCCAGGCGAAACACGCAATCGGCACCCCCGCCTCCAAAGCCCTCAAAGGCTGTTTATCTTGGCGCCCTAGGTGACCTCCTAGTTCACCTGTATTGATGGGCCACCACTGCTTAAAAGGGCTCAGAGATCCCCGCGCCTCTAGGGCGTTGCAGGGAGCCAGAGACACGAGCCCTTTCAACTGTTTCTATTGAAAGGGCTCACCTGCTGGGTCCCGCATTGCTTCATTGCCTTAAACTGAAGCAATTGAAAAGAGCTCACAGCTCTTCCCCCTCTGGCCCGTTGCCTGGGAGCTGCCTGGGAGGTGTGAGCCCTTTCAACTGCTTCTGTTCAAAGGGCTTGCAACTGCCAAGCAGCTGCCAGACAACAGGTTAGCAGTGAGGGCCAGGAGCTGCGAGCCCTATTATGTGAAATCTAAGCCTCCACCCCAGACAACTCTGGGAGGAGGTTAGCTGCTGGCACCTTCCCCTCTGCTCCAGGTCCCTTCCATTGGCCAAAAGTCAGGGGGCAAGGACAGCAGGCCAAGGAAAGCGCCTAGTTGAGTATCTCCCAACCCTGCTCTTTCTGCCCTTCTGGGTTGGCCCATAGCAACTTCCAAAATTTGTGAAGTGGCCCCCCTTCAAAAATTATTGGCCACCCCTGTTTTGGGGGCATTCTAGACCTTGGAATAGTACTGCTGTATCATATTGAACAGTGTGGAATATACCATACAATATGTGCCATCTTCACCATCAAACTACTCACCGCTTCTGAAAGACACTACAGGTTGAACTTCTCTGATCTGTGACTCTTTGGTCCAGCAACATCCATAGATACTGGTAGGACCATGGATGTTGCTGAATCCCAGAGTCAGAGTTTGCCAGCGGTCAGCAGTGGAGCTAGGCCTTCAAGCTGGCAGTCTGTTTGGCCAATAGCAGCAGAGTCTGGTGGCTGGAGAGGGGAGCCCAGTGGGGACGCTAGAGCCCCCATCCCTAAGAATCCAGAGGTCTGACCTTCCCTGGTTCAGCAATGCCCGTTGTTCGGGACCCAGGAGTGCTGAAACAAGGAGGTCCAACCAGTAATATTAACCCTAGAATTCTGCTAGATATTTGTTTTTTAAACTGCTTCCAAAAGACTGACGTTCTAAGGGCCTGATTCTCCATTGGTCTTAAAGGAAACGACTTGTATTAATGTGCTAAGACAGCATGACTACATTCTAGCACCTTCTATATCGAGGTCATTCAGATCCCTCATATAATGGTATAAAGAATATTTTTGTTCCTTACTGCCACAATGATAGGAGTAAAGAAAGACCAGCAAAGTTTCCACCAAATGCAAGGTCTGTATCCCACCATCTCCTGGATGTTGTCATAAAATCTGTTCACACCTAGAAGACAGAAATAAAAAGAAAAAAAATTGTGACTGCCAGATGATGAAAACGTAACTGGACTGAGATAATAAAGTGTATGACCTTGCCACTATTCTGTCATCCTCCAAAAAGTTAAAATCTGCAGATCTGTGTTTTGTCCTCATCTGGGATAGCTAATGTTGCATTTCTTAAGAACATGAGAACATAAGAATGGACATACTGGGTTAGGCCAAAGGACCATGTAGCCCAAGTATTCTGTCTTCCAATGGTGGCCAATGCCAGGTGCCCCAGAGACAATGAACAACACAGGTAATCATCAAGTGATCCATCCTCTGTCACCCTTTCCCAGTGTCCAACAAACTGGGGTGAGGGACATTATTCCTGCCCATTCCGGCTAACAGTTTCTTTGTATGTTGGATTCATATGATGCATAGCTGCTTTCTATTCAAACATGATTTAGTTCTATTAAAGATCTCATCCAAAGACCATTACAAGCCACAGAAGATGTCCTACTGACTTCAGTGGGCTTTTGATCAGGCCCACTGATCAAATTAAAGTTACTAAATTGTTCCTGCTTTCCACAAATGACGATGGTTACCGTTCTGGCTTGGACAAGCATAGTGAGATATATAGTAGTCAGCAAAGTCCTTAACTAAAATTCACTCATGGACATGACTGTGTTTTGCATAAGCATGGAACTGGGGTCCCAACCCAATATTAAACTTGCTAGGACCCAGGGCAGAATATGGTATACGTTAGATTTTTACCTTGCTCATGCACAGGTAGCAATTTTTTTCAGCCAGGCTTTTAATCTTCAAAAGAGAAAAATTTGTCCCAATCTATTCTGCATCTCTATGCACCACCACAACAGTAAAGAAGCAACTAGAGCTAGACTGGAAGCAACTAGAGCTAGATTGGAAGAAAACATACCATAGCACCACGATATAGAGATACACTCAAAGAATACAAGAAATAACAGGCTCATTCCGCTTGCAGAGTAGTAGTCAAACAGCTTGAACACATAAATTCCACCCTATGAAATATAAGAAAAAATGACTAAAATTATCCCATTTCATCTGGTATTTGTTTGGAAACAGGTTAATATTTTTCAATTATATTTTGTAGTTATCTATTATTATTTAAAATTGTAGCTTATATAATTACTTTCTGAAAAGCTATATAATACTTAAGGTTGTATTGACTGCCTTTTTAAGAGGTCAGTAATTACCAAGTTCTAAAGTAACAGTAACCAATTAGTTTGCATATGTAAATTACAAACTCCTGATTGGCTCTACATTTAGTAATTTTTCTGTACTAATTTGCAACCAGTCAATTTATCATAATATTATTTTGTTTCATAGTGTTGTCATTTAAGGATTTCAAAGAGCTTTAGGAATATTGGATGCCCCAATATTACCCCAACTGGTGTAAATCAACATAGTTCTATTGACTTAAGTTAATTTTTGCTCCTTGAGCAAATCTTTATAGAATCATGATGGTTTTTGTCAATCTCCATTTTCAGCCCCTTGCAGTATATTTCTTTGTAAATATATTATCTTTAGAGCCACAGTAAAGGAGTTTTTCCATTTTTAACTTTATGAGCTTGATTGAATATACAAATACTGTAAGCGAGTGTTCAAAATCCCTTATATAAAATTTACCTGAGTAATATTGGACAGTCCTATCAGATAGGAAACAACGCACACAACAGCAATGAAGATTTCTCTTCGATTGCGTAATAATTTTGGAAATTCGTCCACCAAAGCTGTTATGAATCCTTCCACAGTACAGAACTGCAAGTAGATTTATAGGTTATATACAACACATTAAAATGGTGGCATTAGATTTAGCGCAATGTTTTTGAACATTCAATGCTGCCTTATAGCTGCTCCCATTAAAGCTAATGGAAAATTCAGTGGATGCAACATAGGTCAATGCTGAACACTTCTGAAAAACCACCTTTACTGGTTATTAAAATCTAAGCAACAAATTATCCTACAAATTAACAGATGCTTCATTACAATGAATGTTGTTTCTTTTGTGATGGAAGAAGAGGTGCATACAGCCTAAGCCCCACATCTGGCAAACAATTATGCTTGTTCCTGATTGGGATTTCATACAAGCAGAACATTAAGTATATGCATAAAAGCTTTCCAGACTATGCACCTTAATTGGAAGGTGAAAAGCTTAGGGTTGGCTCCTCATTTGGTACGTATCACCATAGCACCATTCAGGCAGTAGAATGATGCCAATCTACATCAGCTGACAGTCTGAACCCCCATGGAGAAACATAAGAAAAATGGCCAATAGAAAGTTATTTTCATGATGACTGAATGTATGCCAGTCTGTTGTATGCAAAATTATAGTCACAGTAAGAAGCGAAATCATGACTTAGCCAATATTTGCATTTCTTCTTAATGAAACATTTCATGCACCATAACTGATGGAATAGTTAGAAAAAAAGAAGAAAGCCTGACAGCCTATTGACATATCTTGTTTGTAATAATTTTAGACTCACTTCTTTGGCTATTACAGTAGCCTCGAGACAACCTCTTCGAAGAACATTTTTGACCCAATTAATTTCACAATAGTTCCCCAGAGTGAAGGTTGTGGTTTATTATTTTTCAACGAACTTTACGCTTGACAAAGGAAATAGTAAAAAGAATAATCTTTGGTTTAATTTTATTTCTTTTATTAAAATGCCTTGCTTTTGTTTGCATATGTACCATTAGTAACCAAATGTATAATATTATTTGCTAAGGTCCTTCACATGGCAGCTGTATCTATGAATCCCTGCATCTCTGTTGAACTTCAGAACTGTTTTATGCAGGGATCTTCACTCTCATGGTCAGTGGCAGGATCATGGTCTACAAAGGTATTTTGTAAATGAATGGAATGTAGAGAAACTGAAAATATTATCACCCTTTTGGCAATTAAAATATAAGCTACCCATTCCTTTTTCTGTGGTGTAAATATGTTCTTGCAGTTGTATGATGTTTTATAATTTTTTAAGCACTGTAAGTCCAAAAAAGATTTTCTCCAAAATATTATTCTTTCGCATCTTGTTTTCAGTTCGACAGTCTGGCAGAACCTTTGAGCTCTGTACTGACCGACTAGTCATTTCAATATTGAGGTTAACATGGATAAAGTCCTTCCTGGTGTAGGCCTAGCATCTCAGAGACTTGCTTCCTTTCCACACATTACCATGAGAACTGTGCTAGCCTCTCTCTCTTTTTTGTCCTTCAGGTGCCCAAGACAAAGTTTCACAGTAGTAGCCATCTGACTCTTGAATTGCATTTATAAGTTATACTTCAAACCTTGCAATTTAAGATGCAACATGGCCTCTTAGTCTACACCTTCTGCTAGTTGTAGATTCTGAAGGCTCCTTCCACTTGTTCCACTAAGCTAGACTTTTCTAGCTATCAGATTAGCTTTCAAGTCAGGTGCTGTGGGGAGTCATAGTGTATATGATTCCTTCATTAGGAAACGTTTGTTACAGCTAAACCTCTAAACTATGTTAAAATATTGCTACAGAGATGAACGCCTCAGAAATGTTTATAATCTAGGGATGTTAGAGTATAACCGATTAATGGATAAGCTGATGTTTATCAGTTAATTGCCTCAGTTACACTCAGTCAGCTCCCGGGGAAGTGGTTTCACTGTGGCAGGGTAGCAAAGCCACCTCCCCAGGAGCCAGGGAGGCAAGAGTTGACTGCTGCTCGTGAGCCCTCCCGAGAGGTTTCTCTGCAGGCTCTATAGCATGAAGCCTTTGCTGTGGGCTCTGTAGTATAAAGCTAAGCGGGCAACTGTGTAACTGCTGAGATTTTCAGTGGTTACATGTTTACCCTATTACACAATTTGTAACATCATGACTGGCTTCGTTTTTTCGAATGGCGAGTTTTCAGATCAATTTGAGATATCCAATGATGTGAAGCAAGGATGCGTTCTGGCCCCAGTGCTAGTCAACCTCTTTTTTACATGTGTCCTCAGCCACACAGTCAGGGACTTGGACCATGGCGTCAGGCTTGATGAGTCACTTTTCGACCTTTGTCGTTTGAATGCTAGAACCAAGACACTTGAGAGGCTCATTCTTGAAGCCCTTTTTGCTGACAACTGTGCACTTATGGCACACAAGGAATCTGATCTCCAGCTGATCTCAAGTTTGCTGAAGCAACTCGCCTCCTTGCTTTGACCATCAGCCTAGGTACTGTTTCAGCCTGCTCCAGGATCTGCTGCTCTCCCCCTTCAATCTTTATTGAAGGAACAGAGTTAAAAACAGTGGACGAGTTTAAGTACCTCGGCAGTGTGATAGCCAATGATGGCTCCCTTGACAAAGAAATTAATGCCAGGATCTGCAAAGCCAATCAGGCATGAGGACGTCTGAGAGCACGAATGTTGAATCAGCACAATATTTGACAATCCACTAAACTGAAAGTATACAGGGCTGTAGTCTTGACCTGTTTGGATGTGAAGCATGGACCTTATACAGAAAACATGTGAAACTATTGGAGCACTTCCACACATGCAGCCTGAGGCCATTACTGCACATTCGATGGCAGGCACAAACTTGGAAGTCCTTGACAGAGCAGGAACCACAAGCATTGAAGCCATGATTCTGAAAGCCCAGCTTTGTTGGACAAGGCACATCATTTGAATGGAGGAGTCAAAAATTCCTAAGCAACTCCTCTATAGAGAATTCTCCCAGGGCAAAAGGAATCAAGGTAGGCCTCAGAAGAGGTATAAAGACTGTGTAAAGGCCAACGTTGGTCATGCTGGATTAAAGCTAAAGCAGCTAGAGCTGCATGCAGAAGACCGAACAGGCTGGAATGCTCTCGTACAACACATATATGACAACTTTGAAGAGCAGTGATGTATATGCCTGATTGATGCTCGTGAGAGGAGAAAAGCAACAGTAGCAGCCACACCAACAGAGCCACGACAATTCCTTTGCCCCCCCTGTGAACGTCCATGCCATTCAAGGCTTGGCCTCCTCAGCCACATATGAGTCCACAACCGATGAGCCTGTGCAAGCTCAAGACATCACGTCAGACACGACAGACTACCAACAACATCCCTATTATAATAAATAGAAATTTGTTAATAGGGATATTTGTTAACAGGAGGCCCAGTTTGCAGAGTACGCATCCTGCATACTGAACCTATTTTTGCTGCAGCCATTGACTCTGAGGTTTGGAAGTAGTAGTTCCTGTGGAAAGTGGCTCAGTACCATTTGCTGGCCCTCAGAATATTCCAAACCCTGAGGTCCCCTTACCTATATAAGGGTATGTCTACACTACAGCACTAATTCGAACTAACTTAGTTAATTCGAACTAACGTCTGTTAGTTCGAATTAACTTTGCTAGGCGCTACACATGCAAACCGCTCGTTCGAACTTAATTCGAACTAGGCGTTAGTCCTTGTGCAATGAGGTTTACCTAGTTCGAATTAAGTTCGAACGAGCGGTTTGCATGTGTAGCGCCTAGCAAAGTTAATTCGAACTAACGTCTGTTAGTTCGAATTAACTTTGCTAGGCGCTACACATGCAAACCGCTCGTTCGAACTTAATTCGAACTAGGCGTTAGTCCTTGTGCAATGAGGTTTACCTAGTTCGAATTAAGTTCGAACGAGCGGTTTGCATGTGTAGCGCCTAGCAAAGTTAATTCGAACTAACGTCTGTTAGTTCGAATTAACTTTGCTAGGCGCTACACATGCAAACCGCTCGTTCGAACTTAATTCGAACTAGGCGTTAGTCCTTGTGCAATGAGGTTTACCTAGTTCGAATTAAGTTCGAACGAGCGGTTTGCATGTGTAGCGCCTAGCAAAGTTAATTCGAACTAACGTCTGTTAGTTCGAATTAACTTTGCTAGGCGCTACACATGCAAACCGCTCGTTCGAACTTAATTCGAACTAGGCGTTAGTCCTTGTGCAATGAGGTTTACCTAGTTCGAATTAAGTTCGAACGAGCGGTTTGCATGTGTAGCGCCTAGCAAAGTTAATTCGAACTAACGTCTGTTAGTTCGAATTAACTTTGCTAGGCGCTACACATGCAAACCGCTCGTTCGAACTTAATTCGAACTAGGCGTTAGTCCTTGTGCAATGAGGTTTACCTAGTTCGAATTAAGTTCGAACGAGCGGTTTGCATGTGTAGCGCCTAGCAAAGTTAATTCGAACTAACGTCTGTTAGTTCGAATTAACTTTGCTAGGCGCTACACATGCAAACCGCTCGTTCGAACTTAATTCGAACTAGGCGTTAGTCCTTGTGCAATGAGGTTTACCTAGTTCGAATTAAGTTCGAACGAGCGGTTTGCATGTGTAGCGCCTAGCAAAGTTAATTCGAACTAACGTCTGTTAGTTCGAATTAACTTTGCTAGGCGCTACACATGCAAACCGCTCGTTCGAACTTAATTCGAACTAGGCGTTAGTCCTTGTGCAATGAGGTTTACCTAGTTCGAATTAAGTTCGAACGAGCGGTTTGCATGTGTAGCGCCTAGCAAAGTTAATTCGAACTAACGTCTGTTAGTTCGAATTAACTTTGCTAGGCGCTACACATGCAAACCGCTCGTTCGAACTTAATTCGAACTAGGCGTTAGTCCTTGTGCAATGAGGTTTACCTAGTTCGAATTAAGTTCGAACGAGCGGTTTGCATGTGTAGCGCCTAGCAAAGTTAATTCGAACTAACGTCTGTTAGTTCGAATTAACTTTGCTAGGCGCTACACATGCAAACCGCTCGTTCGAACTTAATTCGAACTAGGCGTTAGTCCTTGTGCAATGAGGTTTACCTAGTTCGAATTAAGTTCGAACGAGCGGTTTGCATGTGTAGCGCCTAGCAAAGTTAATTCGAACTAACGTCTGTTAGTTCGAATTAACTTTGCTAGGCGCTACACATGCAAACCGCTCGTTCGAACTTAATTCGAACTAGGCGTTAGTCCTTGTGCAATGAGGTTTACCTAGTTCGAATTAAGTTCGAACGAGCGGTTTGCATGTGTAGCGCCTAGCAAAGTTAATTCGAACTAACGTCTGTTAGTTCGAATTAACTAAGTTAGTTCGAATTAGTGCTGTAGTGTAGACATACCCTCAGTGATTCTGTACTCAGTGATGGCTTACACTTTGAAATGCATAGGAAGAGCATATCGTGTCAGAACTGTGTGTCATTAGAAAGAAAAGGTGAATCACCAATAAAATATACTTACCTCTCTCGCTTTGTCTCTCTAATGTCCTGGCACGAACATGGCTACAACAACACTGTATACTGTGGGTCATGTCATACATACTGTAGAATAAAATTTGCTTTCTTAGTAAATATTTTTAAAAATAATCTACAGTAAGCAACATTACCTGGCTGTCAATTCCAAGCATAAGCAACATGGAGAAGAACAGAATTGCCCACAATGGAGAGACAGGTAACTGTGTTACAGCTTCTGGATAAGCTAAAAATGCCAGTCCAGGACCTGGTAAGAGAAGCAAGAGATGGGTTGTTAATGGTATGTCTTTATTTTAGCTTTGATATAATACATCAGAATGGGGAAGGTATTTGCATGCTCTGGTACTTCAGTTTTAGATTTGTTTGCCAATCTGTTCCAGGTGCAAGTTGGGCTAGGACAGCTATAACAGAGACAGAAAATAAACTTCATTATAGAGAAATAAGTGTTACTTCAAGTTCAAATGTTTTAATTTAGGATTTTGCATCTTTGGACTCCTTGGTGAACTATATCGGCTTTAGATCTACACTCAAAGGCTGTGTCCAGACTCAGGGTTTTTTTTCGGAAAAAGTAGCCTTTTTCCGAAAAAACTTCACCTGCGTCTAGACTGCAGCCGCGTTCTTTCGAAATTAAATCGAAAGAACGCGGCTCTTCTTTCGACGGCGGTAAACCTCATTTCATGAAGAAGAACGCCTTCTTTCGAAAGTGCTCTTTCGAAAGAAGGCATTCTTGAATGTAAATAGGGCTTCTTCGAAAGAGAGCATCCAGACTCACTGGGTGCTTTCTTTCGAAAAAGCAGCTTGCGAAAGTTCCGTGTGCAGTCTAGACGCTCTCTTTCGAAAGAGGCTTGCAGTCTAGACATAGCCAAACAGTTGCTGATAGCTGTAACTACAGCCAGAGAAGTCCTTAGGAAATGTGCAGACAATTCCCCTCGGTGTGGACAGAATAGATAATAAGAATATCAAAAGTAGTTCTGCTGGAGATGGAGATTTACTTCCTTTTATTTAGAATACAACCACTTGCTATTTCATGGAATTATTTCTATTGCCATGTACATCACTCAAGAACTGTTTTCTAACAGTGGCTCAGGCCAGATGCTTCAGAGAGAATGAACAAAACAGGGCAATTCCAAATGATCCATCCCATTATTTAGTACCAGGTTCTGACACTTGGAGGTTTAGAAAGTCCTGCAGCATGAGGTTGTATTCCTGGCCATCTGGGCTACTATCAACTGATGGACATATCCTCCATGAATTTAACTGTTAAACGTCATTCACAACATCCCCAGAAACCAAGTTTCACAGGATGACTTTGCAGTCTTTGAGGAATTACTTCCTTTTGATAGCTTTAAACCTGTTGCCTATTTATTTTATCTGGTGATGACCAATTCTTGTGCTATACAAAGGGGTAAGTAGCACTTCCCTATCATTTTCTCCACATCATTCATGAGGGGTATTTTAATCAGCCTCTACCATGTCCCACTTAACTGTTTTTTTCCTAAGATGAACAGTCCCATCTTTTTAATCTCTTTTTTTTTATATGGAAGCTGTTCCGTGCTCCTAATCACTTCTGTTGCCTTTTTCTGTACCTTTTCTAATTCTAATATATCTTTTTTGAGATGAAGCAACCAGAACTGCACACTGTAATCAAAGTGTGGATGTGTCATATAGTGGCATTAGGATATCTATTTTATTATCTATAAACTTTTCTAATGGTTCCTAATATTCTGTTTGCTTTTTTTTTATTGCTGCTGCACCTTAAGTTGCAGGGTGGGAGGTCTAGGTTGGATATTAAGAAAAACTATTTCACTAGGAGGGTGGTGAAGTACTGGAATGGGTTACCTAGGGAGGGGCTGGAATCTCCATCCCTAGAAGTTTTTAAGTCCCAGTGTGACAAAGCCCTGGCTGGGATGATTTAGTTAGGGTTGGTCCTGCTTTGGGCAGAGGCTGGACTTTATGACTTCCTGAGATCACTTCCAGCCCTATGATTCTCTGATTCTATAATTAAGTGACTGTATTCAGGAAACTATCCACAATAAGTGAAAAATCTCTTTCTTGAGTGGTAACAGCTAATTTAGATCCCACCATTTTGTATGTGTAGTTGTGATTATTATTTCCAATGTGCATTACTTTGCACTTTTCATCATTGAAATTCCTATGCCATTTTGTTGCCCAGTCACCTAGTTTAAAGAGATACTTCTGTAATGCTTCACATTCAGCTTTGGACTTAACCTCTCACAAGTAATTTTGTATCAACTGCAAACGTTGTCACTTCACCATTCACCCCTTTTGTCCAGAATACATAGAACAGTGCTGGTCCCAGTATGCTTGGTTTTTTTACCATGAATCACAAGGACTGAAAAATGAAGTGAAAAATTACTTTAATTAAAAAAGGAAAAAGCTTGCTTTTGTTATCTCAGCACATTGGGAACTACTGTTAGTAGGTTGATGGAGAAATTCACAACAGCTAAAATAATAATAGAAATAAAAAATGGGGTGCCTCTTCCTAAAGTGGATACCCTAGTTATTAACTGTAAATTTAATAAAACCTTATTCAGTTTTCATAGAAAATAAATTACATCTGTGATAACTGGCAGGAACATACTGTAGCTTTTGGAAAAGCAAAGTAGCATACAACATTAGACAACTGAATCGTCTGTTTCCATATCCACATTGCATACACATTGACGTTTGCTGGTCAACATTATGAAATATGATTGGAATGCATCCTACTAGGGATGTTAGTGTATAGTTGTGCAAATGATTAATTGAATATCCTGGGCTTATCGGTTAATCCTAAGGATGACACGCACTCCTTCCTTCTTGCTGACTCTGATACAGAGGCAGCAAGGGGGGTGGAGGTGAGAGCTGGTGAGAGCTGGAACACACAGAGCTGCCTGCCTTCTTACCCCTAAACTGCAGCTTTGATAAACCCAGCTCCCCTCATGGACTGGCTCCTGCCTCTGATAAAGAGGCAGCAGTGTGAATAGCAGGGGGCTCCCCAGAGGTGGGGCCAGGAGTGCACTGGCTGCCAGCCCCAACCCTGGGGACCTTTGAATAATCATGTAATCGGTAAGATTTGGTGTGGTTACATGGTTATTCAATTAAACAATATCTAACATCGCTATTTCCTACAAGACAAAAATGCCAGAAAGAGAAATGTGCGCTTGTTTTGCTGTGATCCCAAGCCTCAAGGAAATACAGAGCAGAGGTTGCTAAGATCATGTCTAAAAATTCCTCTCTTAATTCATACTACTATTTGCAAAATGAAACTGGAACTTTTAGATAAAATATCGGCAATAAATATATTAAGATTCAAAGACCAAATATTTCAGGTTGCATTGTGCAGTTTATGGTGTATTAACAAACCCACATGTTTAAAAATAATATTTGAGATGGGCCCAACCCAATATAGCAGATCTGTATTGCTCCATAATTTTGGGTGGTGGGTTCTGAACTGGAATCTGCAGACAAATGTTAGGGTTGGCTTGTATCTCTGGACTAAACCAATAATCCCAGGTCCAAACACCATAATACACAATGTATGAAATCCACATATTGAGCCAAGCTCCTTTCTGATAATAATGATACCTTACACCTAACAAAAGGGAGCAAGTATTCTTCAGAGCTTAATCCAAATCAGTCCGATGATATATATAAATCAGGATATGAACCACATTTTTTTCCAGTGTTGCTTAGCAAAACAGAGTATGCTTCCAAAATCAAATCCCAACAGGAACATGGAACTGCCAAACTAGATTTGGCTACAGCACAGCATCTGTAGTGTAATTGTCAAAAGAAATATACACAATACAGGCAGTCCCCGACTTATGCGGATCCGACTTATGTCGGATCCGCAGTTACGAACACGGACTGCGGGACCTCGCGGTCCCGCCGCCCGTGTACTCCCAGCGAGAAAAGCTGCTCTGCGTCTGCCTGGTCTGCAGACCAGGAAGACGTGGAGCAAGGCCGCGGAGGGGCTCCGGCAGAGGAGCAGCCCAGGTGCGCCTGGGCTGCCCCCATGCCGGCTTCCCCCGAGGCT